TAACAGATCTATCAGCCAACTGTAAGGTGTATTTGGTTGGGTTCAGTACACCTAGACCCAATTGCTGATAGACTGAATATGGAAGCAAATTGACACTGGCCCCTAAGTCTAAAGCGCCTTATCAATGTGAGTATTACCAATGATACATGAAATGATGGGGGAACCTGGATCTTTACGTTTCAAAGGTATGGGATTTGACAGCATTTCACTGATATTGGCGGCTAAAAAGACTTTCTTTGGAATATTTATTCTCCTCTTCTTAGTGCATAATTCTTTTAAAAATTTAGCATAAGATGGAATTTGTCCAATTACATCTAAGAGAGGAATATTGACCTTAACCTGCTTGAATGTTTCTAGGATCTTCTCCTCCTAAGGAGAGTGTTTCCTAGACCCGAGTCTATCTGGAAAGGGAGCAACCGGTCTGAATCTATCAAAAACAGGCTCAGGTTCGGGTTCAGGTTCTTGGTCATCTGAGGGGAGTGATTGTTGAATAGATTCATCAGAAGGAGAAGGAGAAGGAATTTGTACAGGATCAAGAGTTTGACTTGGAGGAGTTCTCACTTGATTATCGACCTGTCTACCTGACCGAAGTGAATGGATTGCATTCACTTGGGCTTCATAGGATGAACTGCATCCTGTGTTATTAGGGTTGACCACGGGTTGACTCGGAAATTTTCCTTTCTCTCTTTCACTCACGGCACTAGCTAGTTGACCAAGTTGGGATTCTAATCTAGCTATAGCTTGAGTGTTGGAGTTGAGCATTTGTCCGGTTGATTGCATGAAGGAATTCAGCGTGCTAGACGTTTGAGTCAACATATTCGTGGTTTGAGTAGAGGCCTTAATTATGGTTTCTAAACCCCTTTCCAAGATATTGAGACGTTTATCCTGATCTGGATTGTGAGGAGTCTGAATTACAGCTTGATGAAGAGGAGACTGATTTTGATACGGCAGATTGGGTTGTTGAAATTATGAATGAGAATTGAATGGAACTGTGTTTCCCCTAGGAAAATGTTGGGTCGAAGCGGGAGTGAAGTTTTGAGTTCCGGAAGAATTTCCTTGATTCCATGCAAAGTTGGGATGATTTCTCCAACCTGGATTATAGGTTGGAGAAAATGGATCATTTCTAGAATGCTGGAATGCAGTGTTCATCTGTTTTATTGCGTTGTTATTTCCTAGGAGAGGGCATTCCTCTGAAACGTGGGTAGGAGACTGACAATTGTGACATCCTAGGAAAGAAACATGATTGAGTTGAGCTGGAGCTCGTTCCTTAATTTCTAAGGCTTCTAACCTCCGCAGAATTGTCGCCATCTTCGATTCAGAAGCAATGTTTGACTCCAAGGAAAGATCACTAGACTTAGAATGGGGAACTGATGAAACCTTGTCATCGCACTGTTCCTATTGCATTGTTTTTTCAGAAAGACTCTCCAAAAACTCCCAAGCTTCATTAGCATTTTTCCTCATAAAATCCCCGTGGCACATTGATTCTAAGGAAGTTTTTGCCGAATAATCTAATCCCTCATAAATTATTTGGCACAATCGCCATTTCTCTAAACCGTGATGAGGACATTGGATGAGAATATCTTTAAATTGGTTAAAATACTTCCAAAAAGGTTCTCCCGAGATAATTTTAAAGTTTTGAATGCTATTCCTAAGCTTTACCGTTTTATGAATAGGAAAAAATTTCTTAAGAAAAACGGTGACAAATTCATCCCAAGTTGAGATGGAATTTGTTGGTAAGCTGTACAGCCATTTTTTAGCTTTATCCTTAAGAGCAAATGGAATAAATCTAAGCTTAACCGCATCTTCATTTAATTCTCTCATTTTAATCATAATACACACTTCCTCAAATTCCGAAATAAAAATATATGCGTCTTCTGTTTCATTACCAAGGAATTTGGAGGTAAGGATAGTACTAGAGGGTGATCAAAGATCAATTAAGTACCTCTTTCCTTGCGGAACGCTTTACGTAACCCCTAAACATTGCCTTAGACACCAACTAATCTGAGAAAACTTAAACCGCTTCACTTAAAGATTTCTTGTTCCTTATTGAGCTCGAATCCTTAGGGGCCAACGTCTAATGAGTTTTATTAGGCTTTGGTGGTGTAGTGAGGAATTAGTGATTTTTGGGCTAAGGAAAGGGTGATGAAATCCCTCACCTTATCTTGATTATGGGGTTTTGCCCTTAAATATATTTTTAAGTGTGTGTCAAATCAAGATGCTCAAATCACTTGGTGAATTCCTATACTATATGAAATGCAACCCTATGAATTAAAAGCAACTAAAAAGGATGGAAAAGAAAATTCTTTTTTTTAATTAGGGTTAACAATCAAACAGATAAGAAGGGGGGATTTGTTTGAATTTATTATCTTGTTAATAAATGTCAAAGTGGAGGATGAATTTTATTATGGTCAACAAAAAAAATAAAATCTCTTTTTTTTAAGTCCTAATTGTCTCTAATTGTGAAGAAATAGCTAAAGGGTGGAATTAAAAATCTTTAAATCCTAGCTCTCCAATCCGCGATCTTCAAGCTCCAAGCGTTTCCTTCACAAAAAACACACAAGTTAAAGAACCAAAATAATTAAAACCTACTTAAGCACCTTCCCCGGCAACGGCGCCAAAAACTTGATGCGGCATAATTATGTACCAAAATTATAAGTGCACAATTTATCAAGTTATAGTATAAAAAGATATCGATCCCACGAGGAATGTGTTTTGTAGGAGAAAATATGAAATCGGTTCTTATGTTGTGTGCGTGATAAATAGAAATAATAAGTGAATGTGATTGTGAAGAGATTGAGAGAGTGAAAGTGGTGTGTAAATAGGTGCAAAGTGTAAATGAGAGTGAGTATGAACAATAAGGTGAGAAGGAAAATTGAATAAAATCAAGAAACAAATAAAAAAATTCAAGAATGAAGAACAAAATTCTAGAATAAAAGAAAATGCAAGAAATTAAAGATGGTGGATTTAATTATAGATATGGGTAATCTAAAATTGAACCCACTTCTTAGAAAAGGGTGATTCCCTAGAGGGTTCTAGCCTAAAGGCGAATCAAACAAAATAAAAATAAACAAAAAGAAAAACTAAACCCAAGAGGGTTCTAGCCTCAAGGTGAATAGTGCAAGAAATTAAAATCTAACTACAAAATAAATTGCAAAATCTAAACTATAAAATAAATTGCAAAAAGAAAATAAATCTACTCTATAAGCATGAAAATAAATCTAATTTATGAGCATGAAATAAATCTAAGACAAGAGGGTTCTAGCCTCTTGGCTATTTAAGAAGAAAATAAAATCTAACTACAAGCATAGAAATAAATCTAACTAATAAGTAATAAAAGAGAAAAAGAAAGAAATGCAAACCTTTAAATAATTCTCCATCTTCATCTTCATCTTCATCATCCAACAAAGAGAAGAAGAGAAAAATTTAAAGTGGTGAAAAAATTATTATTATTAATTGTAACTAAAGTTACAATTTTTGGAAGGCCTTCTCAATTAAGAGTAGCCCTCCTCTCCAAAAGGAGTTTACAAAAATTTTCACACCTCTAACCCCTCACTCTCTATCCCTATTTATAGTAAACATCAGTGAATGAGAGCCATTGGATTGAAATCTTATCCAAAAGCAATAAATTGCAGCCTTAGATTCGTAACAAACTGCCCAGCGTATCGATGCAGGCATCGATACAGGCATCGATGCAGGCATCGATGCCTGGCCCTATGCAGGCATCGATGCCGCCATCGATGCAGGCATCGATGCCTGCCCTTCTCCTTTTGCTGTCCGCAGCTTCTTCTTGTTGTTTGCTTTTGGGCTTTGGACATTGGGCTTTTCTTGGACTCTTGGGCTTGGGCTTTGATTTATCTCTTCATTAAATACTTGAAAGAATTCATTAGGCTTCATGGCTTCATTTCTTCATTAAATTGTGGGCTTTTTGTTGAGAGATGAGGGTTTTGAGATTTATTCTTCATTAACATGCAATTAAAGATAAAAAAAAATTATTAGTAGTATATTTATTCATATAAAATAGATAATGAGGTTATAAAATTATAATAAAATGTGATTATCAATACCCAATTGGATCTTCTTTCTCATCCGGAATCTCAGCACTAATGATCTTATTAATCAAAGCAGGTGTCAGATATTTGTTACCCTCATGAAGCCATAGCAAGATATGCGCATGTGGCAGTCCACGTTTCTGAAATTCTATCGTATATACAGCTGCAAATGAATTTTTGATAAACTATATTAGAGATTGCATGCAACTCATGATGGAATATTTTGTAATAGATAGATTATTGCTTTGGTAGATATATGCATGGTGGAGAAAGTGAGTTATAATATCTGATTCTAATTATCACATGTATTATGACAACTTATAGTCACATGTAAACTACTAAACAGATTGTTCGTATATATCATTCTTGTTGTTGAACTTTAATTTTTTTAATAAATGTAAGAGTCTTAAATTTACTAAAAATCATTGGTACAAACATACATTACATACATGTGTAAAGAATTGTATTGGCTTGATTTGTTTTCATCTTTTGAAATTACACATGCTATCACTTTCATAATGAGTATGTACACATATCGGTTTATAACTATGACACAGATTTGTAATTAGAATGTACATTTAATTGAGTGTTCTTGTAACTATAAGCTATTAACCAACTGTCTAATACAAAGTTTAGTCTTATTTCTATACATGTATCAGTTTAAACCACTATACAACCACCTGGTTAAATAAATGATATATGTATATGAAAATAAATAATAAGTGACAGTATATCAAATTAATAGGAAAAAACCTTGTGATGTAAATATGCCTAAAACAAATGATCAAAGGATTGTATTGCATGGCTAGCTGTTTAAAAAATGTAAAGAAACACTAAAATTTTGAAAGGTGTGCTTATAGCTAATGATTTATTTTTGCTCACTTTTTTAGTGAAAACTCTACCAAAACTTCCTAAACATTAGTCTTGTAACCTCTTTTGAAGCTATCTGAAAGTTCACCCTAATAAATGCAAGCATTCTCAGGCGAAGGAGGCCTTTGAAGGTAACTTGTTTGGTTACTTCTTATTATCTGGATTTGAACTACTTAAACTTCTTTTGGTTGTATCTTCTTGTTGTTTAGAGAAGTAGCAGGGGAAATTATATAGCTATTCTATAGTGTCATAGTTAAAATATGGTAGGGTTAACAAATGAATACTTATGCTTTCTCATCTTCTAACTTATTATCATTTAGTTGGTCAGATAAAATTCGATCATCATGTTTTTCTTTGTTCTGTTTAAGTATTTCATTAACTCACCTTGCTAAAGTAATTCACTAACTTGAACTTTATATGTTATTTTCAATTTAGTAAAATAATTTGCTTTTTGAAAGAATTTTGTTTGTATATATCGTTCTTGTTATCAAACTTTAATTTTTTTAATAGAAGTTAGAGTCTTAAATTTACTAAAAAGCATTGGTACAAACACACATTACATACGTGTGTAAAGAATTGTATTGGCTTGATTTGTTTTCATCTTTTGAAATTACACATGCTATCACTTTCATAATAAGTATGTACACACATCGGCTTATAACTATGACACATATTTGTAATTAGAATGTACATTTAATTGAGTGTTGTTGTAACTATAAGCTATTAACCAACTGTCTAATACAAAGTTTAGTCTTACAAAGTTTAGTCTTGTAACCTCTTTTGAAGCTATCTGAAAGTTCACCCTAATAAATGCAAGCATTCTCAGGCGAAGGAGGCCTTTGAAGGTAACTTGTTCGGTTACTTCTTATTATCTGGATTTGAACTACTTAAACTTCTTTTGGTTGTATCTTCTTGTTGTTTAGAGAAGTAGCAGGGGAAATTATATAGCTATTCTATAGTGTCAGTTAAAATCATATGTCACCTGAGTGTATATATCACTTAATTTATGACACTGATAAAATCACTAACATGTACTCTATAAATTAATGCCTTATCATTTGTCAAAAGTAGGATAATCTTATGTATGAGTGTATACATCTGATTCATTCATGTTAATATAATCAGCAGCTAACTGAGTGTTCATAAATTGAAAATGATAATGTGTGCATGTACATGTGTGTGTCAACTTGATATACTAAATTGTGAAATAAAGTTTAGACATAACTTTGTGTATGCAAATGATCATATGTCACCTGAGTGTATATATCACTTAATTTATGACACTGATAAAATCACTAAACATGTACTCTATAAATTAATGCCTTTAAATTTTGACTGTCATATTAGCTGTCTATGCATATGCAAATATACTATTCATAATTATTAATTATAAATATTATTGTGAATAATGATTAGATTTTTTGCATAGGGTAAAATGTGAAATGAACATACCGCCAACACATTTTCCAAAATGACAATTTTTTTGAAGGTCCTCCATTAGCTGGTCAAGTTTGATTTTAAAGACTCTTGCTAGAATATCTGGCCTCTCATCTGATCTTTGTCCTCCCATTTCTTCTAACGTTGCTTTGATTTCTAGCCACCTTGGATTTGCTGTCATTGTTATAAAAAGATCCGGATTCCCCATAACACGACATAGAGATATTGCATCTTGATAATTTTGATTCATATAACGTGGACCTCCTGTGAAAGAAGATGGCAATACAATCCTTTGTCCAACTTGAGATCCTTCTGTATCTCCTCTAAAAACAGCATCCTTTATTCCACAGTACAATTCAGCTCTAATCTTGGTTTGATTTTGTTTAACCCAGTGAAGCCTATCTTCTTCAATGCATGTAAACAGATCAACAATATAGGTTTGGAATAATTTTCCAGAGTAAAGTAATGTCTTTCCTTCACTATGACGCTGTTGTATACGAAAAGCAGCATATTCCCTCATTGTCACATCTTTTCTTTTTTTCAACTTGTTATTTGATTCTTCCAATAACTTGACTCCCAGCCTATAGCCATCCTCTCCATAAGGAAAAAGCAATGGGTATTGCATTGCCATGAAGCTGGGGTGTAGGTCACTAATTCTTGACAATCCTAACTTTCGATCATCGACAACAATATCTCGAATGCCTATTGTTTCTTCAACATTTCCCACAATTAGTCCTGCAATTTCTGATGCAGATGGCATATTTTGCTTCCTCCCATCACCACTCCTTGACGCCATGATCACCAATCTAACTGTCATTAATTCATCTTCATTAATTCTATCTCTTACCATGCGGAAGCTTTTGACTAATACATTGTTGAGATCTAACATTTCAAGTAGTCCCTTGACAATATCCTCATCTAGTTTGTTGGTACAATTGATGGACATCATCCTGTTTTCGATTTCATTTTCAGTATCATATATGTATAATTGACAAAATTTTGGAGCTGTTCCAGGTACAGGTTTCAAAGACCCTATACGATGATGATTTTGACCATTCAGACGGAAACAATATGGTCCTCCACCATTATTGTAAGTATTATCAATATTTCCTCCCGAGGAAGTGAAAGCAAAAATACTATTATAGGATCTGATATTTTCCTTAAATTTATTACTTTGTCTGCTTCCACTTGGGTATAAAAGTTCTCGAAGAAAACTGGGAGGTTCTTTTAAAAGAGGGAATTTTATTTTCCCTTTGCCACAACAAAGAGAAAAGGAAGGCTTCTTTGGTTTCCAAGATTTTTCTGCTCTTTCCTCGTACCACAGCATAGCTTGGCAATATTCACAAATAACTTTGGGTGGTCCAAAATTTTGTGCCTTATTTTGGTCAACTGCAATTCAATAAGAACCACATTTTAATTAGTGCTATTATACATATTCATACAAAATTAAAAATTTGAAGAGGTGCAATTCAGTAAAATGTGTGAACTAACATGATTTTTAACAATAAAGTCCCTATGTTTGAAACTGTAATTAACTTTATAGTTCATTTTATTACCTACTGTACAGGTTAATTTAAGCTTCAAATTATATGTTTTCTTACTTGTCTGCTGCTCATTTGTAGCTTCAACGGTTGCATTGATGATAGAAGGTATAATTCTTCTGCTTCTATACTGACGCATTTTTTGCCTTTTGTTGTTGGCATTCATTTCATTATCAACAATTATTTGATCATGCTGTTGTTTTTCAGGCTTAAGGATGTTATTCTGAGTAGGATAATGTTGATTTCTCATCTTCCTTTTGATCTGTCTTAGTGTCAAATCCCTTGGTTTAGAATGCCAAAATCCTGCGCACATATACAAACTGTTAGACATAAGTCCAAATATTATAACTAATTGGTTTAGAATGCCAAAATCCTGCGCACATATACAAACTGTTAGACATAAGTCCAAATATTATAACTAAAATGCATCAGATTCTCATATTTGTGCAGTTACCTTGAGATGAACTCTGATGATCGTCTTCCATGTTTGCTGGAGTTAGTGAGTGTGCAAACCTTTGATTTGTAATGTACCACTCTTGGCTAATTTGTTTGATGTATGCTAGGGAGCTAACAGAAAATCTTTGTGTTTATTTGTAGGCTTGTATTTGATCTCATTATACATTAACTGGAACTTCTTGTTTTATCTCTTTAAATTAAGAGGAACTTATTTGAAAAGCCCCTGCTGATACTGTTAACAGCTCTGTATGATTATTTTAGATTGAAGACAGAGATAACTAAAAACCCAAATAAATTGAAAAGTGGAGTTGCTCACATTAACAGGGCACTGGCTCAAATAACTCAAATAACTTGTTTTATCTTCATTTTTTTGTTTAAGTGATTTTTAGTAATGCAAAAAGTAAAGTTTAAGGTCTTAGTTGACTTTGAGGTCCATGAACTTTGGGCACTTGTCTCACAGAAAGTGATAAGCTTTCAAATTTCGGGGGGTTTTCCAGGACCCCACTTAAAACCCTGACTAAAAAAAGAAGAAGAAGAAGACGAAGAAAGAAACGATCGTTTTCTGCTCTAATGGCGGTATGGTTTCAGGATCTGGCAATTTTTGCTGGTTTTGTTAATACTTTCTCTTAAAAGTTTTAACTTTTATTTTTTTGGGGGGATCTGATGCTTTTGTTCTGAACGGTTGTTTGTGCAGGTGTTGCTTGCAGATGAAGCCATTGAAGAGAAAGTTTCAGCGATCTAGAACGGTAAGTCTGGGTTCCTCTTAAACGTTGCAGAATTGGGTAGTAGCAATTTTAATTTGATGTTAAATATGTAGCCCATGAACTTGGAATCATAGAAATTGGTTGTGAATGCTGGATCTTCATTACATGTTGTTGTTGTTGGAATCATGACATATTCTCTCTCCTTTCTCTTCTATTTTAAATTCACATCTTCATTTTTTTCCGTGTCATTAAACAGGGCTAGTTGCTTCTACATACTTTGAACTTTTTCCTGTGAAGATGAGAAAATGAATTCCTTTTTCTGCCTCCCTACAAAGGAATACAATAGCTAATGCATAAAAGTAAAGTATTATTGATTAAATATCCGTTGTAAACTTAATTTTGATTTGAATGTAAATATTTGAAAGCTCGCCTGTCAGTGTGGATGTATCATCAACTTCTCATCCAAAAGTTTATTCATCCAGACGATCCTTCAATATGCAATCAACTTGATTCTAGGTGATAATGCATGGGATAAAGTATTATTGATTTTTTCTCTTCTATTTTAAATCACATCTCCAATTTTTTATGGAAAAATTATCAGGTCCATTTGCTAAAAACCTATGTAAACTCAATATTTTTTTGAAAACCAATGTGGATTAATTGAGTTTTTTCTCCTCTCCTTTCTCTTTTATTTTTAACTCACATCTCCTTTTTTTTTTAAATTGTCGGTAAACATATCCAGTTGCCCACAATCAAATGAAAACTCAATTTTTATTCAAAAATAACGTTGATTTTATTGGATTTTTTGGATTTTTTATCCTCTATCTTCTATTTTTAGTTCACATTTTCAATTTTTCTTACAAAATTATCAGGGCAGGTTGCAACATGAAATGCTAAGTTCTTCATTTTGAATACCCAATTACATGCTCTGAACATCCAAGTTTATCCAATTTAATTGTATCATAAGCTAACACCTATAAATGAATAAATGAAATAATAAATAATAAATAAATGAAATTAAAGAGATGAGAATTCTTACCTTCACTTTTCTGCTGCAGATGTATCAGAAATCAGAAACAATTTCAGAAGCTTAGTTTTGGTGTGGAGGAGAAGGAAAACAATGTATTCGGTGGTTGGGTGAGAAGGAAAAAAACAATTTGTATAAACGTGGGTGTGGAGTTGAAGAACGTGTGCAGTTTCATGAAAATGTGGGGAGTTTTTTTTTTGTGGGTTGTTACAGGAAGTGGGAGTTGGGTTACTGGATACGTGGGGGTTAGAGGAACTGGATTTTCACAGAAATAAGGTTTTAAATACGTGGATAATGAGAAATGTTACTGTTCATTTTAATTTTTTTTGTTGTTTTCTTTTAGTAATAAAGAAATAGATAGTTTCATTTGCAGTGTTTTATTAATTCTTATATCCTTAAAATAGAATCATGTGTCACATTTTTAGTGGTTGATCTGAATCTGAATTCTTAGTGGTTGATCTGACTCTCTAGAAAAATTGTTTCCTAAGTTGTTGAGCTCTTTTTTTTTATGGGAAAATGGGAGGAAACCATGGTTGATTATTTTCTACCCCATTTAATGTTTCTTTGGTTACCGAGTAACCAGAAAGACAGCCCTTACAGTGTAGGTATAAGCATAGGTTATATTGTAATAATAAACTAAAGAGGAAGAATACAAATAGAGAATCATCAGGTAATGGCTATCAACAGAATTTATGCACCACCACCAAATCATATCCAAGAAAACTAAAGTGAAAAGAAACATATGAAACCTCTAGGTCATATCCTGATCAATCACTATGTTCATCTGTTGGTGGTGAAGCGATAAAATCACTCAACCCGAGCAAGCTGTCCACATTGGACTCCTTCAGCACTGATTTATTAAGCAGCATTAATCTGTTCTCGTTATCTTCCTCTTCTAGTTCAATCTGTGTCATGTCAAATTTGACTTTGAATATCTTCTGAATCATGTCCGCACCCTCCCCTATCATCACGTCCCCAATCGTCATGTCCACTACAGATTGGCAAACCAGATCGGATAGCCTGATGATCATCAGATGATCTGCAGCCTGGCATAATCAAGAGAAAATACTATCTAATAAGGATAAAAATCATATGCTTATGACAAAACAAAAACTTACTAGACATAAACCCACAGGACACCAAGATTAAGAATCTAGTCTGAAAACCTTTTAAGATACATACTTGATTAAGTGCCATTGCAACAGAAGAAACATATAAAGACTAATAAGATCTCGCATTTCTCTACTTGTACACTTCACCAAAATTTATTCAGTTCCAGCTATTCATATGCCGTAGAATTTGCATATAAAAGCATACATGCATACTAGTAAAAAAATTTATTCATATTGCTAGCCATCTCTCAGCAGCTTCTCCACTAAAAGTCACAAAACAAACAACAGCACATCAAACTTTAGCAGAGTGAATTGAGTTGCAGTTGCACAAATACACCAAATGTTCAAGCTTAGTTAAATTACACCCATTAAAAAAACAGATTTCCTACAGATTACTGTAAAAGAAGAGCTCAGAGAATGCTTATCTCCTCTGGCCCTTTCAAAATCATAATCAATAATAGGACAACAATAACCTTGTCACGTACAGAAGAGTTATGCATTATATGTTGACACAATAATAAGAAAAGCCGCAACAAAACATTTTAGATTTAAAAAAAAGGTTTATGGAAAAGAGGTAGGGTTTTGATGCCTTGATCAGATGTAGATTTGAATGGTTAAAACAATGGTTGCCTATAACTAGCGTCAAAACAAAACCAAGAGACCTCGAAATTCCCTATCACCAAGTTTTAAGTCATTTATCTTTGCATGTTGGCCATGGATGAACTTCTAAAATAAACATAACAAAAATGGAGTGACTGGAATATAGTTTCAGCAAAACTATCGTAAACAATGCAAGTACAAATTGATGGACAATAAAGTGCCTAGCATGACAATGAAAGTATTAGCATAAAAAAACCAATGAGAACATTAATTTACAAGAAAGCATGGAAGATCAAGAAGTTATCTTTCATTAACAAAAAAAATTACCTACCTTTTTGCAGGACTGGCCATTAAAAACTAGATATATTAGGAAGATATCGCCCAGATCATTTCTTCCGCAGTGCATACCATCATATAGAAGTGTTGTAGCCTAAGTTGTATGGGGATGTGACATGAAAAAGTTAGTATGGGGACATAGCTGAAACTCAATAGGGTATAATCATATTTCTAAACTAAAAAGACCATTTCAAATTGTAGCTCTTAAGGCTGAAATAAACTCGCCCCTTATCCCGCAAGTTGTAGAAGTGCATGTAAAGTAAAGGATATATATCCAAGAAATGTATGACGAGTGTTTTAAATGAAACGTGCAATGTATAATGTGTCAATAAATATATGCATATGTTTAAGGAGTGTCCAAGAAGTTTTGAGAACAAGTACGGGTACGACACATGTCATGTATGAGTACGGCTCCATATTAGAAGTACCCATGTAACATAGGCTATAGCAGTGTTGGCATAAATTACAACAGCAAAATAATTAAAACCACTATTATTGGGCTGCTAGAACTGCGTAACATCTCATGATCTATAAGCTGATGTGCAGAATCAAAGAGGTTTTTGAATCCATTCTCTAACAATGAAATATATGATACAAAATCATATTAGGGCCTATTTGTTTGCCTAAAAAAATTGAAAATCAAAGAAATGGAAAACTATTAAATCAAAGAATTGTTTTGGGAGTGTTTGGTTTGCTAAAAAAAGAAGGAAATCAAAGAAATGAAGATGAGTTGTCACCTTATTATAGGATGATGTGAGTGATTTTTTAAGAAAACTTGTTTTGATGTTGTTTGATTGACGAAAAAATAATGAAATAAATTAAAAGAAACCTATTTCTTGTAATAGGTTGTTTTCTTTTGCTTTGTTATTTCTTAAAAATAATAAAATATATGAGATGAGATGAGTTGTCATTATATTATTGGATGATGTGACTCACACTTAAGAAAATTATTTTCCTAGCTTTTTGGGAGGAAAACAAACAAATTAAATGTTAATGAGATGAGATGAGTTGTCACAATCTTATTGGATGATGTGAGTAATTTTTAAATATGAGATGAGATGAGTTGAGTGATGTTGTGGATGAAAATAATATTTTATTAGATGTGGTGGATGTGATGGATGAGTTGTTGGATGAAAATAATATTTTATTAGATGTGATGGATGAGTTATTGGATAAAAATAATTATTAGATGTGATGGATGAGTTATTGGATAAAAATAATATTTTATTAGATGTTGTGGGTGAGTTTTAGAGATGGAAATGTGTAAAATTGTACTTTTTGAATTTTCTTGATTTGAATTTCTATTTTTTGCTTTTTTAAGAAACTGAATAAACGTCAGTTACCAATAATCTTGTAATTATATATAACTTTCCTTCTATTCCAATTCAGTTCTAGGCTTCTAGCTACAAATTCAAGGCATCGCAAGGGAACGTTCAACTGTTAAAGCTCGAAGTAGTACAAGGTATGAAGAAGGATAGTAATAGAGAGAAAAATGCATTTCTTAGAATTAAAAATCAAGCATTATTATGCTACAGGAACAGACTGGTACCTTTGTGATAATTGCAGGTGAATATGTAAACTGACATCCATTTAAAAATATATATGTATGAGATACATATGTCACGAGCAATTTGGCGAAACATTTCATATATATATTAAAAAACTATGTAAAAGACAGAAATGCCTCTTTAACCGTTTAATTCACCTACTACGTTATAATAAACAATATAAATAACAAAAATTCCCAAATTCACCTAAAATCTTCCAAACGCCCCCAAATTCTCCAAAATTCCTGCAAACTGATAGTGGGTTAGGGTAAACTTCAATTTCAAGCTGGTTCTGTAACAGCGCATCACGATTTTGGATCCTCGAGGAGGTGAATTTCTAGAGAATTTGCAATGATCCGGGTTAGAATTTGACCTAATTAAGTCAGGTAATTTGACAAGATGTATGATTCCCTCAAAATTTCAGTATAATTTTGAGCAATTGCTTGTCTAAATTTATGTTCTCATGTGTTAAAATGTGTTTGTTACTTCTTGTTGAAAATATTTGGTTAGGGCTAGGGTTGGGGTTTGGATGGTTTTTTCACTGTTTAAGTTCTGGTATATTTGCATGAAGGTTTTATGGGTTAAATTGAATAATGCACACATTGTTTTAGTGTTTGGTGGTGTTGATTAAATGAGTTTCTAAATTTCGGTTGGCAAACAATTTGGATGGAGACAGTGTTTCCACACACAGATTTATCCATTTAAATAGCTTGATTTTGAAAAGCAAAAAAACAAATTTGACTAAAATGCATATTAGTTGCTAAAATGCAATGTGATTCCATCATTAAATTTTCACGAATTGAAATTTCGAACCTGATGTAATGTGATACAATAGTAGACTTTGGACATGATGCAATGTGATACAATTGTAACTTAGTTCCATTATAAAATACCCATGAACTGAAATTTTAGACATGATGCAATGTTATATAATAACAGGCTTTAGACATGAGGCGATGTGATACAATTATAATTGATTTCCATCTTTAAATATCCATGAAAATAACAGGCTTTAGACATGAGGCGATGTGATACAATTATAATTGATTTCCATCTTTAAATATCCATGAGCTGAAATTATGGGCGTGATGCAATGTGGTTTAATAGTAGGCTTGTTTCTCTTCTCGGTTAATTTTAAATTCATGATGCAAAATTGTGTTTTCCTTCAAATTTTTTGGATAGTTCCTTCAAATTTTTTGGATTGAAGCAAGAAAAGATTGATTAGTTTTAAGTTTGTGATGCAAAATTCCTTGTTTCTCTACTTAGTTCATATGTATTTCCTTCAATTTTTGATTGAAGCAAGGAAATATTGGTTAATTTTAAATTTATGATGAAAATTTGTCTTTGTTTTCTCTTCTCAGATGATGGATATATATTTCCTTCAAATTTTGGATTAAAGCAAGGAAAGATTGAATAGTTTTAAGTTTGTGATGCTAAATTGCCTTGTTTTTCTTCTCATTTCATGAATATTTCCTTCCAATTTTAGATTGAAGCAAAGAAAGATTGGTTAGTTAACTTAGTTTTAAGTTTTGATGCAAAATTATCTTGTTTCTCTTCCTATTTCATGGATATTTCTTTCAAATTTTTATAGTACTTGTAAAATGTCATGACTCTTAAATCTAATGATATTTTACAATTATGTAACGTATCAATTATGAATTTATTTTCGTTGTAATTCCCTGTGCATGAATA